TTGTCGCTCGACGACGGAACGCGTGCCGCGAAAGGCTACGATGTTCTACATTTACCTCTTGTCGCCGGTGAAATATATTTATAATATAAAAAGATATAACTTAGATCTCGAGAATATAAAAGAATATGAAAAACAGATTTATGAATAGATTTTCGAGAAGTATGTGCGTGACTCTACATTTTTTAATTCTAGATTCAAATTCTAACAATAGTTAATTATATAAAAACAGTTTGACAATCCGTGAGAGTTAGATAAATAGTTTAAATATCAAAAACGATTTTAGACAAATTTTATTGTGTGTAAGTGCATAATTATATTACAACGGCGGGAGTTAAGAAAAAATAAAGAGAGAGAATGAAATTTCTATTACGTTTATATATATGTATATGTAAACATAATAGAAATTTTTAAAATGATTTTTTCTGCTCTCTCTTTTTCTTCTTATTTTTTCTTTATGTTCTTAAGCAATAGCGTTATTTATAACACTGGTCGCCTAAAAGCGCCATTGGATCCATAGTTCTATTTTTGAAAGCCGATGCCTCAAGACGATGTTTCGGAAATTTTGGAACGTAAATGGATGTATTATATTTTTTGTATTGTTTCAACCGGATTGTCTAATATGTTCCCAGACAATATATGATCGTTTCAGACATATGAGTCAAATAGCAAAATTAATCCCCGACGGTGTAACGCGATGAGATAATGCCTCAAATTGACGCGAGCTTCCTCTCAACAACATAAAGGGGAATGAATCTCTCAACGCTGATTCTCTAAGGGAGGACGGGGTATCCAAGGACGTCGTTATTGGCCCCTGAGGCCATACCGCGTATTGTTGTCGCCGGATAAAACGAAGAATCACTGAATTTTATGAGATAAACGAGGCGAATGCCGTGCGAGTAATCCGTATGGTTTGAATTTTGACGGCCAAAGGGAATAAAGAATCTTAAGATTATACACGTAAGTGGATGACACACAGAGGAAATAAAAATGCTAATTATATATATTTTTTTTTCTACATACATAACGTTGTAGAACATATAATTATATAACGTGAGAGAAAATTTATACACAAAAAAGTATTTTTCTAAAATTATAAATTAAATATGAAATTTGATAATCTCTCTAATTTAATTTAAATACGTCGATTCGCGCGCGATTAATAACGTGCCCATTCTAATATATTTTTTTAAAAATTTCTACAGCGGATTAGAACGATTGGAACAGTACAGTGCAAATTTTTCAAAAAATTCTTTTGGAAACGATAACATAGATTTCCAGTGAGTGGATCACCACTCTTTTTCCAGTTTCTACGAGGATGGATCTTTTTCGGAGATGACAACGACGTAATTTAGCAGACACGGGAAAATCGCCACGCGACGGCGACAAGGGGTGGCGAAGGGGTTTGAGCCGCTCTTTCGTGGTTGTATATCAGGGGCGTCGCGTTATTGGCCCCCCAGGCGCAACCTGGCTTTGTCGACTGGCACGCCGTGCGCCGGATAAACCGAACCCCAAGAATTGCTGACTTTTATAGGATAAACGAAGTAAAGACTACTTCTCTTGCGCCAATATATATATATATATATATATATATATATATATATATATGAACGTAAATGGATGTATTTTCGAGACGCGGCGTTGAATGAGACTGTAATAATTTTTAACACGAAAGCTGAAAACGCGCTGTTCTTTCAATTTTTTCGATGTTCAACGAGTTCTTCATTATGTTTATGGATTGCATAAATATTAAAAATCGTCATTTTTGGAATGAAAATAAAGATGGCAAGAAGCGGACAAGAATCTTTCGTATATATACACCTGTATATTAACGTGTAGTAATTAATCCGTGCGGAAACATAAATCGATGTCCAATAATCATAGTCATTCTATTCGCATAGATCAAAAAAATTTCGATAGGAAAATTGGGATTTGGGAGATTTATTTCGCGAATACACGTCTTATCTCAGTGTGGGGTACAAACTTAAAATTATGTATTTAAAACTTTTACATTTATCTGGGAAAAGTCAAAATTACACTTCGATATTTCAAACCTATATTCTTTCTTTATATGGCTCTTTTGCGCTTTTCTTTTATGTTTCTCTGTAGTTCGCTTTTTAATACAAGATTTATACTTTAATTTTTTCTATAATTTATTTAAATTTCACTATATATATATATATATATTTAACTCCCGCCGCTTTGTAATATAATTATGCACTTACGCACACAATAAAATTTGTCTAAAATCGTTTTTGATGTTTAATAAGAGAAATTATTTCATAAGTTAATCGAACGAATGCGAATCGAATGCTAAAGAACATTTTGTTCGCATTTCGTTATAGCATACACTTTCTAAAATTCTAAACAACGAAAATTTACATTTTGTTCTCATTGTTCCCCTCTATACTCATCTTAAAACTATTTTCTGATAATAAAAAATCTCTCATGCACGGATAATGAGCCCTATTAACGGAATGCTTAATAGTGGGATTTATAATCATCCAAATTTCTTGAAACTATTAGTACCACAGGTTAATGTCAACGTCTCCATAGCATTAGTTTCTTCTTATCTATTTATACAATCCTTTTTTTATGAGCCTTTTCTTTTTTTTTTATTTTTCTCTACCTGCTTTTTTAGATGTGAACATTTCACTGATCTGATTCATCGTTTACCCACACCGTTTTGTGTTTTTGAAATTCTTTTCTTAGTACAAATTATTGTGTACTGTAATCCTCTCCAACATATTCGCTGGCATTTTCTGTTTTTAGTTTAGCATGATTTATAGAAAGATAAAAATATCTTTTTATGTAATAATAAATATAAATATCTTAAAAGAAATACATAATTGAATTCTTTTTTGTAAAATAAATTGTTTTTTATATATTCATGCATGTATAAGTATTTATATATTTTGGTATCACACTTGAAAAGGATATATTTTTCCTTTCGAGATATATTTTTCCTATCACTTATTTTTCTGATTTAATTCGACATATCAGGAAGTAGCACTTTGAGAAATCTATTTTTTATCGTCACAACAACCGAGTATCGATACTATATTTGCATGATAAAGCTGACTATGAGGCAAGCGGAGATGAGATCAAACATCCATGCTTTTATACAGATGGCGACGAACATTTTGTACGATCAAATCAATGCAGAGATTCGACATCTCGTTTTATCGGGCAACTAAGTCGCATAAACTTATATCGCATGTGTGTGAGCGATAAAACGAATTATATCGCTATATATTTAAACAAAAGTGTCAATGTTTAACACACGCATACACACAAAATCATAAGTAATATCTCTTTTACATTATACAAGACATATCCCAAAACCATTAGATCTTTTTTAAATCATTTTTCTGGTTGACTGTGAGATCATTTTTCCTTAGCAAACATATTATTATTTATTAAGATCGACTGCAATATTTGACATTATCTTGTTCTGTGACAAAGTTTTGAATTAAAATTTTATCAAAGCAACTTATAAAACTGATGAAAAAATATGATTTTATCATTTTAAAGAGTTTTCTTTAAATTATTGAAAAATACTTTTAAATTAACTTTAAAAATTGTATATGTCTAGAGAAACACCATAAATCTGTCATACGGGTCATATATTGCAAACGTCTAACGAATGCCTAACGAATAAACTCAAGAAATTAACGTTACCTTAATAATCCTAAGTCAATTATAGAATACGATTACGAATGAATTGTATTCTATTGTATAGGTAATTGGATAGGTAATAACTGTCAGTTAATGTCGGCTGTTAACGTCTTTTCGGATTAGCGGCTTAAAAAGGACGAGACTGTAGTCATTGTGTAAAATAGTTTTAAGATTAGAATATTGATTTAGGATCTATGCATATTCATAAAAGTGTTGTTTTAGAATTAGCAGGACAATAGTTAGTGCATTAACGAGGCTCCTTATTGTATGCAAAAATGCATCTAACATCCTGTTTGTCGTGAATTATTTTTCCTCGGAAAAGAAAGTTCTTTAAGTATTTTCCCCGCATATACGTGCATCTCTTCAGATTCTATATTATTGATACAATTTGACGTATCTTTAAGAATTTGTGTCAATAATATTGTATTATCTGTTATAGTCATTCAAATTTTTTTTTTTAAATTTTGCGGAAATACGTAATATAATATAAGGATCGAGAAAGATTAAATTGAGAAATATATTAGTGATATTATATTTTTTTATATTTTCCAAAACTATAAATTTTATTAACTAAATCATGTTCTTGTCATTTAATTAATAAGCAAATCACACAATACATGAACAAAAGAATAAATGATGCATTAATTGTTTCTTCCTAATTTGCTTTTATAAAGAATAGTTTAATAGTAAAATTATTTTTTAATAAGTAAAGCAACGTGTGTCATGCAGATTTCATCACACAAGTGACAAGCGACAAGTTACATAGCAACATCGAATAAAACTAAAATTCAAGATTTTTGAGGAAGTGAAATTATGCAATGACATCATTGTTGTCGAATTACTCGTAATCGTCGGAATTTGCTCTCTAAAGAGAAAGGAATATAAAGAGAAATGCGTAAAAAGAAGTGACAGATAAGAGGAAGAGAGTGGAAACTAAGAAAAGACGAGAAATAGGAAGAATGTGATATGGAGAACGCAAGGGAGAAAGAAAGAAGAAACGGAAGGAATGAAGAAGATGCACATAGGTCGATGGATCGAATGTAGAGGAACAGGAAACAGTCGGAAGAGCGAAAAGAGACGGTAAGAGGGCGGGCGGATAGAGAGGAGAAGAGAGACGGGTAGGGGAGCCAGAAAAAATCCGGGGATTTACGCGGAAAGGGCAAAATATTCCCCGCCCAGGCTTCATTCAGCCTCCGATTACGGGGTGGCTTTGGGTGAAAAGCACGCGCTATCATTGGTCGAGGGGCTAATATGGCGGTGTTAGGGGTTGCAAGGTGGGGCGGGTGTACGCGATATTAAGGGCTGCTTTCATGTCCGACGAGCCAGTTCGTGGTGCGCCGTCGATTGACGCATTTTCCGTCGAGAAGGTGGAGAACGAAGCGTGGAGCGTTCGACAACTTCCTGTGTCTCTCCTCATTCTCCATCCTCTTGTTAGATTTCCTCGCTTTCTTCTTTCACATACTTTCTTCCGGCTGGACCACATTTGCAGGCACACGCGACTCGGCGGGAGATTCAATTTGCGCGCGTGCCACTCGGGAGACAATTTATGATTTGCCAGTGATTTTCGTGGATCGAGGACTGTTTGCGAATATCGCGAAACTTTACGTCAGTGATTTTCGTGGAGAAAGACTTCCTTAGAATGGCCCAGACTTATAATCAGAAGAGAAATGTGTACAGCATCGATCAGATATTGGGTCATGCCAAAGATGAAGGTATGATAAACTATTTTCTTTTTTTTTAAATTCTCGTCAGCTGGTTGAGTTTTAGATATTTCTAGAAGAGTATCTGTGCGTATAACAATAATTTTCTCAGTTATAGAGATATTAATATCTATATTATTAAAATGTGACGAATCAATGCACATAAACACATAATTTTAATCTACTTTAGATATATTTACAAATTGAAATTTAAAAATATTTAATATTCTATTACTGCTATATATAATATAGTGTGACAAACTTTAAGGTACAAAAAGAATATTAAGTATAATAATTTAGATAAATGTGTAAACATCTGTTTAGTAGATCTTAAATTTAATTGTGATTTGACATATAACATTAACTTTCTTCGTTAGAAAAGTTTAATATGAAAATTTATTATTATTTCTTATTATACATTTATCATATTATACATTTTTTATGATGAACTTGTATTATGTGTGAATTGCTTATATAGTGATAATAAGATTACAAGATCCAAAAAGTTATTTAATTTGCTACGATATATTTTATAACTCTCTTTTACTTTATCGCGTTCATCGTATCGTATTGGACAAAATTAACTTTTGATTGCATTTATAAATTAAATATTTCTCTTTTAAATAATTTATTAAATTATATATACACACATCAATACAATGTTTAATATAATGAAACAATTATATCTTCGCTCACGGAACAATCGTGTACAATTGTATAATGATTATCTGATCGCGATAAAAAATCTGTTAAAATTTTTATTATCTTGATACAGATCGATCGCAATGCGATAGCAACACGGGCGTACTCTTTTCTTCTTACTATAAAAAAGTAAGTTTCTAGAAATTTGAGCGAATGAATAACGAGCGAGCAGTAAATTTTCACCGTTAAAGTTTTAAGATGCTTACGTTACAACGAATGCAAAAGAATATTGATTAAGATTCAATTTTGTTCACACGAGGCAATATACGTTACACACACACATACAAAGGAAATTTTAAATAAATTTATTTTTGCATTTATACACAGTTCTCGTTAGTTGTTTATTTGCTCAATGTATATTTATTTCAAGATAATGTATCGCGAGTAAAATGTGAGCATTATCTGATAAGATTCATATCGATAATTTCTCAAATGACAGCCAACCGCGTTTTCGAAGTCATTAAGGATGACTAATCGTTAATTTTGATATCTATTCGTAAATCGCTTTGTAAATACGAAGTCTTTACGGGTTTTTAGTTTATTAAAGTTTATTAGAAAATTTTTATTTTCTTTAGAAATTTATAAGAAAGAAAAAGATATAAGTTAAAAACATTATATATAACTTATGATATACAATAGATTATGAAGATATGTGTGTATTTGTTCTAATTATAAGTTATAAATTTCTAATTTTTCAAATCCATAAATTAATGTAAAATGTTCAAATTCTTTTAAATTATTTTTTTAATAAAAAGAGATTTAAACTAGCAGAAAAAATTTAAAACTGATACCTATATTTTTTTGAAATTTTGCTGTTTATGAAAAGATAATAATAAATAAAAACACACAAATATACTTTCATCCGAATTTCAAAAAATTGAGAATTATATGTTATAAAAAAGTTACAAATTTTGACGATGTGAAAAGGAGTTTTATATCTTAGGCTCACATATTGCCAATTTTAGGATTGCACGATTAAAGGTAACGTAACGTAATTAGGTCGTCGTAGGTTACAGAATCTGTGGCGACGATCGGTGTAACGTGAATTTACTACACGGTGTTGTGCGACACGCGAGTGCGACATGCGCGCGGTTAGGCTGCGGAGAGAGGCGCACGAAGAGGCGGATTGTTTCGTTGCATGCGCTTTGCAGAATCGTCACGGCATGATAAATCGTGTTATCGAGTTTATAAAGAACTACGTTATTACGTGTACTCGCTACCAGCTGGCTTACAACCGTGGCTTATAGGCAAACAGAACAACGTGGCGATCACTATCCCATGATTTTATTAAACGCACGAACCAACTTTTCTATCTTGCTTACGTGTTTATCGATTTGAGTTTAAAACAGTCACTGGATCTCGTATATATTTGATCTTGTGATAAAAAATGTATTAGATATTGAGATATCAATATGTATAACTGATTTTCTATCTGGTTTCTCTTTCTCACAAAATTATGGACTTAATTAAGTACGTATTGTAATTAAATAAAACAGACTTAATAATTTCAAATTATGTATTTGTAATAACATATTTGTAAGTTATAATATATTTTTGTAGAACAGAATTTGTCCCTAAATCTGTTGAATCATCACATTTTAAAAGTCATATTATCTTAATCATTAAAACATATATCCCTCGAAAGGTCAATAATTTAATTTACAAACGATTAAAAATGTTATTTGGATATTAAGCTTTATATAAATATAAGAGAACTAAAATTTTTAATTACATCTACAATTAATTTAATGTCTAATTTAAATATATGATTTTACTCTTAAACAAAATTATAACTTAAAGATTAATTAGAAAGGTATTTATGAAAGAAATAATTAAGATAGATAATGATCTCCCTTGACATTTTTATTAAAACCAAGTTGACTTTAAACACGTCAAAGTATACAGATACAAACAAAAAGTCTCTCACACGTTAGGTCTGTATGCGTATACAACTACTCGTATATGTCATGCAAGTACGTCGCTATTTTTAGATTGTCAACTGCAATGATTGAAAAATAGCATTGGTTTCAATGTTATAATCTGAAATAATCGGCTCAACGATGCTTTTATCTTGAATTGCTCGTGTTTTTTTCTTTTTTTATAAAAAATGCATTTTATAGAATAAGGATTTACTTAGTCTTTAATTTATATGCGATCAGTGATAACTGCTGTAACGTGAATTTACGGCACGAAGTTACGACATGCAAAATTGCGTGCATACAAATTGCGTCAGATGTACATTGTCTCTTTGTATGCATGTGCAATGTACAAATATAGAAATGCTAGGCGTGACGTTGGAAATCGTATGAACAATGTGTTGCTTCACGGCTATCATAAATATATAAATTTTTTGAAATATAATTTATGTATATTTGCAATGTTTGTATATTTTCTCTCGAACAAATCTATCTATTATAATTCACAATTAGTTTTAAAACAGCACAGCAGCATTATATAATTTGTACTTGCCGTAATGATTATATAGACATTTTGTGTAATCGCGAATATTTTATTTCTCTATTATTCTTTTCTTTTTATTATTGTAATAATGATATCTGATATACCTTTGTAAAATAATATTCAAATCAAATTATCAAATCAAATCTTTGAATTAAAAGGAGATTACTAAATATTAATAATATCATATATTTTATATTACATAACTGCCTCTCTCTTTTTGTTATTAAAAAAAATTGAGATATACATATTTGAATAATGAAGTGCGTTCATATAATTATATATCTCTTTCTAGTCTATATAAAAAATATTTATAATAAATTTATATTTTAGTATGTATTTTTATACATAAGATAGAGAGAGAATATTTCTCTTTTATGGAGCTTGTATTTTATAAATTTTGATAAACGCGCGTTTTCCACAACATTTTTTTGAAACGTGATCTCGTCACATTTCATCCCGTGGAATACGCGGCTGGCGTATTAACGTAAGTCCTCTTAAGGATTTTATTAGATTTTCAGCGTAAAGTCCTCGGCTACTTGTAATCCGCTCCTGTCTCACTAAAGTATATTTCGCCGACTGGACAGATCGCAAATCCTTTTTAACGCTTAACGCTTAGACGCATAATCCGTATAGGCGCACAGGCGCCTTACCGGAAAAAACGATCATTCCTGGAGCGACCTGGGTCCCAATTCTTGAACATGTAAGTACGAACAATTTTCGTATGCGATTCCTATTTGAATAAACATTGTTTTCGCATACAAAAATTGTTTGTACATGCTCAAGAATTGGGACCCTGGATGAAAAATTTGAAAAACATTTTTGTTATATATATTTTAATTATTGCGAAAATAAGCGGAATTTGCTGATTCGTATAAACGTCAGAGGAAATTATTGAGAGAAAGACTTCTTATTTTTTGTAACATTGATTACTTTCATAGGGGAAACTTTCCGAGGGGAAACGACGAGATTGACTATTTAGAGTTGCCGAGACTTTAACTGTATTTGCGTCAGCAGAGGTGTAATTTTGAAAAGATCTCATAGGAAATTTTATTGCAAGAAATTTTGGATAATATCGAGAAACTTTGTTAGATATAGTACGTCGAAAGCATCAAAGTGACAATATTGATTTCTGTTTTTTTCCGGTATTCTTAGCTGCATTATTTATTTGATATCTTTAGTTTTTTTATATTATACGCAATATGATCTAGATAAAATATACAAATAATTTATATAAAGTTATATTATAATAGATATTTCTTAATTTCTTATATTATAATGACCTTTTCATATAGAAGAGAGGATTTGATTCATCCATAAAATTGTCACATATCATAAATGCTTGAACGCTTATAAACATTATACCATAATAAGAATGACACTTTAAAATAATATAATTTTCTAAGAAAAAGCGCGTGGGCGTAGGCGAGAAAGTTTAAAGAAACATGAAGTATCCACTATAACGCAAAATGAAAAGCCTTGTTGTAAAATGGGGGTGCATTACATTCACTGCTCATTATTATTATTTTCATGATTAGTATACTCTGTTATAGTTATTAATTTATATTTATAAATCGCTTTTTATGAATTATGCTGAATTTCTCTAATTGTCCTTAAATAAATTACCTAATAAATTACCTAAAGATTCTTATCGCTAATCAATTTTCTCGGTGATTTTCTCGACTCCGTCATAACGGAATGATTGGCTACATGTGCCCGCGCGATCGACACGGTAAATAAATTTTTAATTTCGCTGTTACGGGAGTCACCCTCTCGGCTATCCCTACCTACCCTACCCTGCTTTGGGCCTGGTCCACATCAGGCGTCGGCGCACCGTAGATTTAATAAAAAGCAGTGGAGAGCTAAGCATCAAGTGGGTACTCCATTGTGCCCCGGCATAAAAACATTGAAATCTCTCTATTCAGCTTGGATTAGTACGACGATGCCCCTCTCTCTCTTTTTTCCTCTCTCTCTCTCTCTCTTTTTTCCTCTCTCTCTCTCTCTCTCTCTCTCTCTCTCTCTCTCTCTCTCGGTGCGCGTATGCGTGCGAAAGCCCGTGCGTGCATACAGACGTAACGTGCGTATAACGTACGCCGCCGGGCAATGTGCACGCTTACGTTTTCAATCGTTTCTCTCGGTTCATCCTATCACAACTGCTCGCTGTGTATCGACACCGAAAAGTAGGATTAGCATTATTACGCACGAGTAGTAAATGCTTGTCTAATTAGCCCGAGTGGAGACGAGCTGGACGGGATATGTGTATGCCACAGGGATGGATAATTTGTAATCTTACGGTCATTCGAAATGGTTTATCTCGTGCTGCTGGCCAAATAAATTGAAACCCTCAGAATGACATAAATTTAAATTACAAGTAAAAAATTAAACTAATGAAAAATTGGAAAAACTAACATACCTGATCCGGATATGCTCCAGCTGTCAATGTGACTCATTGGCGCTTCCTTTCTCAGAAATTTAAATATCTGAAGTAAGATCTGAGCTGGTGATTTTGACAAATGTTCTTCACTGAAAAGGGATCAACAAAATGTTTTTTTAGGTAGACTATATTTATTGTTAGATTAGACAGCTTAAAGGTTTATGCTAAATAAACGAAGTGTTTTAGAATAGTTATATTTTTAGTGCTAAATGGCTTCTTGGTAAACGAAAAATTATTAGGACTACTTTGTAGCATGCATACATAGAAATTGAATAAATTACGTTTATTAAGCTAGATACTATTTCCTAGAAGATGTGGCATAGTATAATATGAAGCGATTTCGCGGAAACGTACTCTTGAGGCAGATTATAATTTAATGTGAAATTAGTCGGGGCGTATGCGCATAAGCGGATGTAGACGTCGTAGCGAACCGTTGTAACTTTGTAATTGCTGCTTCGGTCTCAGGTCCTTATCCAATTTATATGCATTAATCTAAAGCGCGATGTGCAGTTAGTTGAGCTTAATTAGCCCATTTCGTGGAATTAATGAGGATGCAATTCACGTCAATGTTATCAATAGATCAGTGAGCGTTGTGGTTGTAAACATCAATATAAATCTAACCATATCTCAATAAGCAATAAATACTTGCAATGTATGTCGTATTTGTAGTTTCTCTTCTGTCGGTTTATATTGAAATGTATTAGAAACTTTATTTTTCATTACTTTTTTTAGTGTTACTTAAAAATTATTCTATTGTGATATACATATATGATTATAATATATAATTTTTTTTAAATATTTTATTTCTCTAATAGAGCTTTTTTTACAATTATACATATAAAATTTTTTCTTTAACATTTCTATTAATAAAGTTTTTATTTTTTATATAAAAATATATTTAAGTTACGCAATAAGAGATATATCTAATAAGAAAATTCTAATATTCTTAAATTGTAACCAATAATTTTTTTTAAATAGGAAAACGTATTAGTTTTATTCCACTTGAAGTTTTCAGTAACGAGTTTGACCGCATGAAAAGCTCGATACTTTTGTTAGAGACCTATAGAAAGCTGCTTTTTGCAAAAGATGAGAAAGTCTGAGAAAGGAAGATCGCTCGTATCGCTTTCAGGATTACCGACGCGACAAAAGATTCAAAGGGGAATAATAAATCGTAGCGGCAATTTGTGATGCGCGTGTGTATATATCACTTCTTACAGGCGTCAAAGAGATGTAACAAGGTTTGTCGCGATGCTCGATTTTTATCACCCGTCAAGTTTTGCCGTGGCATTTCTACCGCGATGCATTTTTATGGAATCCGAGAGATATTTCTGCTACTTTTCGCTCGCGCAAACCGGTGACATCCTTGCGACATCTCGTTAAGCGCATCAAGTGTGATGGTTCGTTCTTTCCGCGTCTTTTTTTTTTTTTTTAAACTCGTTAAACTCGATGGATTTATTTTTAACGCGTCAAGTGCCTTTTGAAATTACATGCAGATCAACCGAATTGTTATTATTTGTACGTTCGCACAATATCTCGCACGAATTGCACGAGCGTTTTTCAAACATTTTTGCGCGTATCGATCCGACGTTGTAGAGTCGTCAGTTTTATAACAAAGTTGTTGAAAAATAATCGCCACACATTAATCGTCAATTATTAAAATTTTTAAAATGAATGTAAAAAAATACATACAATAAATACAATAATAAGTATATAAATAAAGATGTTATGTAAAATACAATATATAACTAATCAATAATCGCTTCTCCGCAAAGATTCTATTGTCTTATTGCGAGATTATTTATTCTATCGTCTTATTCACAAATTTTTAAGCCATTTTATGCGCGATTAACTGACGATGATTGCGAAAGGTTCCCGTTATAAAATCGACATACGGCGCGATTTGATTTCTCGCCTAACACGAATCGAACGAAATACATATCTTTTCTACGTGTAGTTTACTCTAATAGGGCTTTAAGCCCTCGTCGATGTTCGCGCAAGGACAGAACGAGTGGTCATGGTAAAAAATATGACTGAGGGAGGACTAGGCGGGATGCGATCGTCGGGAAGGGCATGTGTTGCACAGGGGTTATACAGCAAGGCTGTTGCTGTATCGTGACAGGGAAAAGAGGAGGAGAAGGTGGAAGAAGGGTGGGCAGAGTGTGCACTCGTGATATTTGCTAATCACTGACAGCGACGGCTTTTAAGTACTGTCGAGCACATACGTATAATGTGCGCACTTACATTTGTAGGGTATTTCGCGGGCGTGTACACGCGTGTACGCGCGGGTGGATGTATGGAGCGGTGAAACAAAAAAAAAAAAAAAAGAAAAAAGATGAAGCGAGGCTTAAAAATTGGCAAATCCGCCGATCGGACGTCATCGGCGTATCGGTTATATCGGTACCGGTCGTTGTGCGGCTTAAAAATGAAATTGCGCCCGTATCTCCCCGCTGTTGCCGCCGCCGCCGCCGCCGCCGCCGCCAGAATCGGTATATCAGGCAAAACGACAATTTCGTTTTGGCAACGCGAAGCGATATGGTTTAATCGCCTCGATCGTCTCCCCGCGCGCTCAAGTATCGGAGGTACTGTTTGACGTATTTGACGTATTTAACAAGTGGAAATGCGCCGATAAATGTAAAGGGTCGGAAATTTTCTCGTGTCTTACGAGGCGGAAAGTTTGAATCAGTTATGAATGATTCTTCGCTTTTATCTCAAAAGTGATCTTAAAATCTTATATTAATCGCGTTTGACATATGAATCTATAGTACAGAAAAATGCGTGTTTTAGAAATTCTGTCTTGGGGAGTTATTATGTAACTATTTATGATTTCGATGAGAAAACGTGAGTTTTCGTATTTTCTGGCAAATTTCATCGCGATTCCGTCCGTTTCTTTAGGTGAATGAATCTTGTCGAAATTCGAACGAATCCGAGCCACTTACACTTCGGTTGTCAACGATAATTTTCGTAATCTCATTCTGATGGGAATTGAGTTTCTATTCGTTCACGAGGTGTCGGAAACATTCCGATCATTTCGGATATTATTCGCATGTTTATATTATCTTAAGTGACGAAAATCGGAGTCACTCCAATAAAAAATAATTTTAAACAGATAAATAATAGCTCCCCTGGATAGCTTATGAGAGAATTGAATTGATAGAAAAATAGCAATAAAATTTAGAGTTTTATGTGCATTATTCAACTCCTATGAATCAAAAATTATTATTACATAATACATAATTATATTTTAAAACAGTGATATAAACTATAAAAAATCGAATGCAAACAGATTCCATTAATAGAAAGAAAACTAATAAAGGTAACAAACACATACACAAGTTCGTAAGAAAACCGCATTTACTTATTATGAAATAAGGTCTATTGTATATTAATTGGATTTTTGTAAAATAAAGCAAAGTTTGCGTAACATAAATCTTTTAATTATTTTATTAAATTAATCTAAGTCTACTCAAACACACAAATTTAATGTAAAGCTTAAATTAATGCTTGCTTACTTCAAGTTACTATTTATTATGATTAAATATTAATTTTTTAAATTATATTTTGAGAAAATCGTATCAAGTAAAATGAGTGGATAAAATCTCACTTTCAAAGTTGTGTATCGTTAATTTTAGATCACGCGACATCATCTGACGCCGTCGTTGATGGCGGTGACACGGAGCTCGGTCACTTGAGCGATCATCAGATCAACGACGGATTGCATGATCCTTTGAACCTGGGTGAATCCGATCGACCACGCAAGGTGCGAAGGTCCCGCACGACTTTCACGACCTATCAGCTACACGAACTCGAGAAGGCTTTCGGAAACACGCAGTACCCGGACGTGTTCACCAGAGAAGAGTTGGCAATGAGATTGGATCTCTCGGAGGCGAGAGTACAGGTACTTTTGATAAGCTATTCAATTATTGTAGAAGGAATGTGTAAAAGAAAATATTTTGTAGAAATAAGAAAAGTTCTTACAAATGTTTCGAAACGTAAAGTAAATTAGAAATTCGCGGCTTATGTGGCAGACGCAGCTTTAATATTTTTCAAATAAAATATAATAAAATATTTAAATAAATTATAGGAGCCATAAAAAATATATAAAATCAGATTGTCTAATATTAGAACAATGAATATCTGTATCCATATTATCTTTTTTTGTCTTTATTAAATATCGTGTTTTATGAGAGTAAAATATATAGTCTCGATACTCCCGATCGCCGAGTACTTTCAAAAGATTAGCTTACATTTCCGTGCAATGATCGGCTTGAATATTTCAAATGCGGCTTGAAGAGAAAGAGGGAAAGAAGTCAGGCCAGATTTTGCCAAACGACGAGACAGTTGCAGAAGCATAATTAACCTTTCACCGCTTTGGCTGGACGAATTCACAAAGCCCGAAAGGCACGCGTGCGTCGCTGAATTTCACGCATTTGATAGTGGCACTCGCAAGTTTTGTAAGTAGTTTGAATGACGAGCTTTAGATTCGGCCAGCACGATAAAATTTAAAAGGCTATCTGTGCGAGCTCGTACATAAATTTCATGTTAAATATAGAGAATACTGAAAAAGAAAAATCGAAGCACAATATAATATGCTAAGTGTATCAGTAATATTTAATGTGCTAATATGTATCAATAATATTTATAACAAAACTTATTTAAATAGCTATTGCTAATATGTTGTTATTTATAATTATAGATTTAAATTTGCTTTATATGAATGAATATAATGTTATCCTAACATTATATCGCGATTAGTTATATAGATATAATGCAGTAAACATATCTGATAAATGTAAACTGATTTTCGCATGCAGTAATCGTCATGCGAATTAATTCCTGTATGGATCTTACGAAGCAAGAAGGATTCTGACGAGCGTCAAGCATCCTCGATTGTTTGTAGGATTGCGATTGGACGACTCAGCTTCAAGGCGCGAGTCACTTAACTAATTAGCGACTATTGTATCACAAAATCTCCCGTTACCGTTTTTCATCTGTAATTTTGCGAAACACACGCTACGCTTCGAATCCATCAATGGTTAATTCCACAGAAAGGGGTTACGCATATAGAAAGCTGCTTTGGAATTACTTTAAAGCAGCATCCTTGAAAATTCAAGTACATTGCAGCGCTGGGGTGTATTACAATTCACAATAACTGGTAGACATCTTTTCTATATATGCGCAGAGAATTACATTCTTTCTCTCTCTCTCTCTCTCTATCTATCTCTTTTTCGAATATATATTATCCTAAAAATAAATTAATTTTCGCAATTACATACATATAGATATAAATAATTGTGCAAGAAACATTCTAGTTTGCAAATAGAAATCACTGAAAGAGTTGTAATTAATAAATAAGTCAATAATTATTATATTTGCAACGTAATAACCATAATTTGTTTGAGTTAAATTAATCATATTGGAGAATGGTATCTACATAAAGAGAAATGAGCGCATATTATATGATGTGGTAACGATTCTTGACAGATGTTGGATAAGAAAAGAACCTCTTATTGATTTCCTCAAAGAACCAATATCCTCGAATCAGTGCGTCCTTGGAATCGTCCGATTCAATTGTTTGATTCTGATGTACGACAAAGAAACTGTCGACACACAATTTTGAGAGGAGGCGCACACTTCTACATACGCATTTCTGCACGTGTGTGTATGATATATATTCTATATATATATATATATTGTATATATGTATCTATTTATATATATTGTATATATGTACATATCCATATGGATGAAAGAGAGAGCGAGAGAGAAAGAGAGAGTGCGAAGGGTTGTGCGTGGGGCTGCTAGCGGAAGGGTGGCGATGATGCTGAAAAGAGATAGAGAGCATTCCGATTGGCCCATTGTGGTACAGCGAAGCGACAATGCCGGCAATTGGCCGTCGCTCGACAAAACCGCTAAATGATCCGCCGCGGCGCAGCCGGTGTGCCACGGCCACTTTATTTCAATCTAGGAAATCCTCCTGTTTCCCTCCCCCTTTCCCTTCGTCCTCCCCCTATCTCGCTTTCTCCCTTGCGTCGATTCTAGATGCAAAATTACCCCATTTTTCGGTATTAACTCGGCTGGCCGATATAGGCTGGACGATCGCACGTATGGTAATGCAATCGCGAGTCGTTTCTGACGTTTCCTATACCATGACAGGCGATTCGCGATCGCTGGACGTTTCGAGGGAATTTTCACGAGCTTTTATGGACATCGCGGCGCGATTTTATGAAATTTTTACGAATTACTTTTTACTGCGCGTTGTATCTATCCACTCTGCAATATATTCTGGAAAAAAATTTACTTCTCTGTTATTTAATATATTTTAATCAATCTAGGAGAGCGAATTGACTTTTATTTAACGATACATATTAAATTATCACGATTCGAAAGTTTCAGGAAATATATTTTTCGTAATCCTTTCTAAATATTATTAGTCGGGTATCTTTTTTAATAAACAATGCATTCATTCTTCTTATTACAGTAAAAGAATTTATATCTGAAAGACAATATATTAATTCAGAGACAAATAAGAGCAAATTACAATTTAAAGGGGTTTAATTAAAAAAAGCATATTTATACTTGAGAATTCTAAATTTGACAAAGAATTCTCAGATCAATGCGTAAAATGCGGAAGCATTACCGATCGTCGTGGTAAATGCCGACCGTGATTCAAGAGATTAATAGGGCAGTTATGGAAACGCGTCGGCATTGCAAACTTTCGAGTTCGCGGTGGGTCGCTTAAATAGCGCAAGGTTTGCGAGCACTTAGGCGTTAAAGGCTATTCAGAAGCGATTAAATAATTAACAGCAATTAGGCAATTAAATTTCCCGCCCTCGTCTCGCAACGTTGACCTCTTTCCGAGTTCGCGGTGAATAGCGCAAGGTTTGCGAGCACTTAGGCGTTAAAGGCTATTCAGAAGCGATTAAATAATTAACAGCAATTAGGCAATTAAGGCAATTACCCTCGTCTCGCAACGTTGACCTCTTTCC